GGGGGGGGGGGGGGTGCGTTGCTCCCCGTCTAGGCCCTCCTTCCCTCCTTCACCGTGTCCCACCAGCGATCACGCAAAAAAAGCGTCAATTACCAGATTGTGCTTATTTTTTATTTATTTGTTTAGTGCCGTGAACCTTTTCTTTGTAGCCTGCAAATGACCCACGTCGGTCGGCGCTGACCCCCCCCTCACCGTTGTGGGAATCTCCACAGCCCGCACTGCGTTGTCTTGCATGCTTTTGCACAAAACTTGGGGGGGGGGGGTAAAAAAACAACAACACACACTTGTTTAAGCTGCACAACACTCATATACTGTGCGTTTAAAGGCCTGGACACGGTGTGTGTTGTTAGTCAAGTGCTTGTCAGGTCTGGAGCGTATGTGTTTTTGGAAAGAAGCACGGATATTATGTAGGGTAGAGCAGTCTGGGTAGTGGAGTACTCAGTGTGTGCTGCAGTCCACGGTCGCTGCTCAGTCCTCCGCCCGGGCTGAGAGCAGGAATCCCGGGCTGCTGTTGCAGCTCCGCCTGTCGTGGGCGATGGTTTATTTTGGAAGGTCCACCTTTTTGGGATTTGTAATGACGGTTGCGAGCGATGATTGGCTGAGATGTCCACAAAAGAGGGGGGGCAAAGGTTTATAGGCGGACTGCCTTCTACAGAGTCACGTGTCCGCAAACTCCAGGAAGTAGATAGTTTTGGAGATAGTTTTGGAGATAGAAATGGATTTAACAGTAACAGCTCGTTTTGTTATTCGCGTTTCAACTGTTGATTCAATATAATTAAGGGGATGTGAGGGAGGATAGTCTTAGGAGGTGGGATCCATGGTGGGCAAAACATATTTTTTGTACGAAAGTGAGTTTGTCACCGTTTATTCTTTGGTTGTTGTTGAAAGTTGATGTTTAAAATAAAAGATCTTAATACGTCCAATAGATAGACGCTTGATACTGTGTATTGTGTTGTATTGGTATGGAGTTGAACTAGAATCTATATGAGTACACATGTACAGGTATGTAATATACCGTACACAAGGCTGCACTACCAACTGTGTGTCAGCTCATTTGTCATAAACTGTTTCTCTAAGACTTTCTGTGGGAAATTACACTACTTACGTGCAATTATGTAATCTTGTGACTGTTGTCTTGTAGAGGGGCCCTGTGTTAAAACATCGTTTTAATATCTTTATTAGTTTAGATTGTGCTTACATAGTGTATTTTCCTAAATTAAATTGTTTCATCCAATTACCACAGACTAATATACAGAACACCTGGGGCCGTATAAAATAGTATAGGACTAGCACTAGTTGTTTAGGAGTGCAAAATGTATGAAGCTGCTGTCTATAGTGCGCTGTGTGCACTGTACTTGGAGGGAACAGTGGATATACCAGTTTTCGGGGTTTGTTTTTTGCATTGTTGGGCCTTTTATAGGGTTTCTACTGTCAGGAGTGCCTCGAATATGAAACATGTCATGTATATACTGACGCCTTTAAATGGTTTTCTTGGCCCCACGAAATGATACAATAAATAAAAGAATCAGACTACATTACCAATTGCAGATTGTAAACAATTTATATTGTGCAAACGATAGTAAAGACAGGACGTACAAATAAAGAATATATGCCAACAACTTTAACATTGCTTTATTTTCAAAACAAAATATTTCAAAATAGTCGTAAAGTAGTAGTAAACAGTATTGTATATTTTGCTGCCTGTTGAAGAGTTACAGAAACTTTTATGCACCAGCATCGTACGGGAAATTCAAACCGTGAATGAACATGTATGTTAACAGGAGCCAGATGCATCACTGTCAAAGGAACAATCTGTTCACTTACTTACTACACAATTATTACAGTTGCCCAAGTACAATTATTACCTGTTACTATTGGTATTAATACACAGTGTGTACTGGGGGCCAGTCAAGTTTGGATGTTTATATTAAACATACACATTTCATCACTATTGCTCCCAATACATAATCCAAATTATTATAAAAAATACCAAAAAGTCCCTCAGGAACATGTTTCAGTTGTAAATGAGTATAGGAATGATGCAGGTATTGAGCAGAATAATGAATAGTCCTGCAAGGACTAGTTAAACATGAGAGAAATTAATAGTCAACATATGACAAAGTATAATTTGAAGACATGACAACACACACACACACACACACACCTCAAATGTCACTGGCGGATTTTTCCCACTGCTGGCATTGTCGCGCTTCAAGTCAAAATGGGCTTGCTTGGTTACTGTGCGATAAAGCTTTGATTGACAGTTCAGACTCCCAACCCGGGACCGTCGCCCCGCCCTTCTGTGGATCCTCTGAACGAACGGACCAATAGCGCTCGTCGGGGGGCGGGGCTACGTCTGAAGCCCCGCCTCCCCCCACAGCTAACCGAACGGGAGATTGTTTTCCTCTCGGGGAGATTTTTCACTTTGCAGCCCACAGCTTCAATTGTTTATTTTAAAATCACACGCCACTGATAAGTTGCTTTTAGCACACACGCCACTTTGGTATCTTCCCCGGCCAGAGGTGTAGCGGCTAAACCCTCCAATAACGGATTAATCCAAGCAGCGTTGGGATCTTCAGCTCGCTCTTTAGGAGAGGGGTGAGTTGGATTCATTCAGCAAGCTAACGCAGCTAGCGTGCCTGCCTCCCGTTAGAAGACGGTATTAGTAAACTGCGCGGGGAACTGACCTTTCTTTGCACTCACTCTGAACGACACTTAATATGACTACACTAATAAACCGGTAGCTATTGCTCACGTCAGACAGGCTGCTCCAACAACAGCCAGCCACATCGCTAATGGTTAGCTGCATGTGCTCCCCTGCTAGCGGCGGACGGAGCTCGGTGTCGGGCTGCTCATGTTGTTTACATTAGCTAGCAGCTAAGTGGCAGCTCACAGCCGCCTGACGACAAAACAACTTCTCGGCGTAGTTCATCGAGAAAAAAAAAAAAAACCAACAGGTGTAGTCTGAGGCGGGAGAGCAGTCAGGCGGTCAGCGTTTTGTAGCTACTTTTCTGCTTACCTGGTTGAAACGGAGAGTAATTCACTGCACTCCTGCGCCACGCTCTAAATGGCGGG